TGACCCGCGACCCAGCATCCTGAAAGGAAAAAAATAGGGAGAGAAACTCCCACGTGGAGAGAGATTTAAGGATTCATAGGGCAACTGCGATGTGTGGCTGGACCTGAATATTTGATAAGACACTGGAGATACACGTATTTATATTTATGAGGCAATTAAGTCTCAACACTGAGTAGACGAGTCTCTTTTTTTTGTTTGTTTGTTTAATGCAGGGACTTGCTACATAGCCCAGGCTCACCCCAAACTAGGGATTCTCCAGCCTCAGCTTCTCACAGATTGCCTGTTTAGCAATTTGATGATTTCAAGGAAATAGATAATGGCCGGAAGTAACGTTAAAAGCATCAGTTCTTCTTATTCGAACTGAGAAATGCTGAAATGCGTATGTGTGAATTGTTTCAATAGCTGGCGTGGATTTCAAAAATCAGACCGGGGGAGAGAAGCCCGGAGGGATGGATGGGGCCAGCCCGGTCAGGTTGGGACACTGGGAGACAGGCTCCTGGGGTTCATCCTTCTAACCGTTCTAATCTTCACTTCCTAAAACACAAAGTTCACAGAGAAAGGCAGCTGTTGAAACTGCTTGCCCAAGCAAATGCAGACGCCGCCCTCTGAAGTCCCCAGAGCCACCGTGCTAAGCCTGTTGTCCCCAGTTATGGTCTTCTATTAGGAGAGAGGGTGGGTCTTGGGGCAAGAAGTGAGCTTCTGGGCTGGCCGTGTGGCTCAGTGGTACAGCACTTGCTTAGCGTGCTTGAGGACCTGGGTTCAAACCCTAGCCTTAGCATTGCAATAATAATAACAATAACAACAACAGCAACAATGTAACTCTCCCTGGCTGGGTAATTCTAACAAGCACAGGAGAAGCTACAGCAGGAGAACTCGAGGCCAGCCTGAGCTGCATGGGAAGACACGGTCGCAAAACTAAAGGAAGTCATACACCAGCAATAAAACCTCACGTAAACTGGACGGTGGTGGTGCACGCCTTGAATCCCAGCACTCGGGAGGCAGAGGCAGGCAGATCTCTGTGAGTTCGAGGCCAGGCTGGACCGACAGCCTCCAAAACAATGCAGAATAACCATGTCTCATAAAAACAAAACAAAACAAAACAAAACCTCACGTAATCGAGCGCACTGTGGGCAGAAGCTCTGGACCTAGGACTGGCAAATTTGCAGCCTGGGAAATAGCCCTAATTAGATAGGCAGAACCCTCCAGCAAACAGGAAAAATCTAATCTTAGCATGCAGGTTGGCTAGTGGGTACCTACCTATCACAGTCTGGGTCTACGGCTGACGGTCTGCCTCGAGGGTCGTGGGGGCTTCAGAAGGTGTGGCTGGATGGAGGAATTGTGTCACCGCTGATGGGATTTGCCCACCTCCAGTTCCAGCCCAGGCTCCCAGCTTCCTGTCTGCGATATGCGAGGGGCCTTTGCCTCAAGCTCTGGCTGCAAGGCTTCTACTCCACCCGTGGTGGACTGGAAACAGGAACCGAAACAGCTGTTTCTGTCATGTATTTAGTCCTGCTTTCAAAAGGGCTCACTTAAAATAGAACACCCTTTAAAAAAAGAAAGAAAACATGGTCCACCTTTACAAAAGCTGGGTAATTCTTTAAGATTCTGTTTAGTGTCCTAGCCAGGCTGAGGTGGGCTAGCTGGCCCTGGAAGAGATTGGGACGTGTCCTAGCTAACTGTATCTGTCAATCTGACACAAACCTAGTCACCCGGCAAGAGGGAGCCTTCACTGAAGAATTGCTTCCAGCAGATTAGCCTGTGGCCGTTGTCTGTGTGGCATCTTCTCAGAAGCTAATTGATGTGGGAGGGTCCAGCCCACTCTGGGCGGCGCCATCCCTATGCTGGTGGGCCATACGGGAAAGCCAGCCAAAGTAAGTCAGAGAGGGAGAGCGCCAGCAAACAGCATTTCTCTGGGGTTCCTGCCTTGGAACTCCTACTTGACTTCCCTCAGGGATGGATCGTGACCTGGGGTTGTAAGACGAAATAACCCTTTTCCTTCCCAACATTGCTCCCCACCCCCACACCCCATGGTGTTCAGCATCCGAAAGCAACCTAGAGCAATGCGCTGTCGCCATCTTATAACTGCGGATCCCATCGGCGTGGGACCCCAAGAGCCACAAATATGTGAGAACTTTGCTCCCTTCCCCAAGCGGCTTCTCGATGCACGAATACACGGAACGCACACCCCAAGCCTCAGCAAAGTTTATACCATGGTGCGCAATTTCCCGTGTTCCAGTCCCCGCTTGGTGTCCCTGCCAACGGGATAGCTTCCAAGCCTACAGCTCCTTCGGACAGAAACCGCCAGGGAGAAAGAAGGCTTGGTCAGGGGCCCCCGGGGCCACCCACCACGCAGCCGGGCACCTACGCTTTGCAAGCACTGGCTTCCAGCAGATAAATGTAATCGAGGTTTATGCGCTCGGAGAAGCCAACAGGACGGGGTTGTTTCACTTGAAGGATCAGAAGAAAATTGTAACTAATGTTGTGGAAAATTACTTTGATATTGCTTTCTTGGTACCGAATCACAATTAGGCTGCTGCGCGCAGTACCGGGAAGGGATAAATGAATAGTAACAAATCAACACAAACAGCTGTGTCAGGACCACTTCGCTCAGGGAAAGGAACGCAAGCATTACTTAAGGCTTTACGGCCGCGTTTGGTGGGATTTACCTAGACCGTCGGGGTGGCCCATCATCACGCAGCAGAGCGTCGTGGCCAAGGGTGGGCCACCTGCATCCGCCAATAGGAGGTCGCGGTGAAGACCTGCCCCAGCTCCTCACCTGGCTCTGCCCACCATGCGGGATGCCATGTGATCCTGCGCGCCCTGCCGGTGTGAGGCTCCGCCTCTCTATCCCAGGACTCCACCCACCTGTAATTCACACATCTGTGCGCCCGAGCAGCTGTTTCAGAGCAACGCAAGCTGGAGCGAGGGACAGGAATCCAGCGCCTGTGAAATTAAGGGCTCCGCTCTGCCAGCTGGCTGTCGGCACGGCGGGGAGTACCCCAGGACCATCAATAGATCGCCTGTCCCAGACACAGAGGGGCCTTTTCTCCCTGCCCCCAACACACAGTGCAGACATCAGAGACGCAGACCCTCTGCCTGCGTGTGCCTCAGCGACACACTAAGGTGTCCACTGGAGGTATGTGGCAGCGTTCATCCATGCAGTCTTCAGGCTCCCTGGATTCTCTCTGCACAGACTACAAATAGTCACAGGGAACAGCTCCCTGCACTGTGATGGCACTGTCCTCCGGGACCCAGCTGTGCTGACTCAGTGTCACTTGCTATTCTAGGGCTCTTGAGAGGCTACAAAGTCCCCAGAGGAGCCAGCTCAGTCACGCACACTTGCTTCCTCAGAAGCTGGGGAGCAGCCAGACCCATTTTTGACAGCCACCAGCTGTAGGGGTTGACCCGGGAATGCGTCAGCACAGTGGCTTGCACGCTGTCCCCAGGGCCCCGCAACTGCTTCTCACTCAGTCTGTGAGGAAAGGCACAATTGATCAGCCTCCCCCCCATCTCCCGCGCAGGGCGTTTCTTCCTTCCCTCAAGGCTCCGGTTTGCAGAAAGGAGGCCGGGGAGAGCCGAGGGCCCTGCTAGCGTGCTGGGGAAGAGCTCGGGGCTGGAGAGCAGGCACACATCCCTTCTTGTCACAGGAAGCCACCTGCCAGCCATAACCTCTGACCTCCACATCTCTTTCATCCTGTGTCCCTGGGGGAGAAAGCGCATTTCCGGGGGTCTTCACCATGAACCTCTGCTAGTGCGGTGGCTTGCGAGCCCAGGTTTCCTTTTCCTTCAAAGCACATTAACCTCTGGCCTCAGCCCCAAGCCCGTGACGGCCAGCTCTGTCATATCTGGCACCAGTGGCCTGGGGACCTGCTCTCCCCACATTCCGTCTGCCCTAAGTGTCCTACTTGTCTCTCGCTGTCTGTATCCCCCCCCCCCAGCAGACACGGACCGTTCTAATGGGCCACAAGGCACAGAGAGAATGGGGGTGTGGGGCTCAGCCTCACAAAGCCAGAATGTGCTCTAGTTTCTATGCCAAGCCAGGGGAGCCAGATTCAAAGGGTCGCCCAGGGCTAGACAGGGAAACTGAGTCACGCTCTGGCTATGTAAGGTCACGAGGCTGATGAAGGCTGAGGGACATGGGTGGCTCAGCAGTATGGGTGCTTTTGTCCCCAAGCCTGAGTTCAGTCCCCGGAAACCACATGGTGGAAGGGAGGAGCCACTCCCAAAGGTGGTCCTCAGGCCTTCCTACGCATCCCCATCACTCAATGAATAAACAAGCTATTTGATCCGTGTCACAAGATTCCTTTTTGGGATGGACGCTCACTGTGTAGCTCTAGCTGGCTGGGAACTCGCTCTGCAGACCAGGCTGCTCTCAGACTCACAGAGATTGGCCTGCCTCTGCCTCTCAAGTGCTGGGATCAAAGATGTGCTCCAACACACCCCTGCCATAACAACAAAAACAAAATTTCAAACTGGACCTGGCGGTGCAGACCCATAAGCCCAGAGACTCAGGAGGATACGACATGTTCGCGAGTTCAAGGCCAGCTGTTGTCTCATAATAAAAATAATACAACCTGATCAGGGGGGTAAGGCCCTGGGCTAATTCCCAGTGACCTTTTTTTTTTTTTTTCAAAACAGAAAGATGCTTATCCCCTGGCGTCCTGCACGATGTGGGAGATGCCCCCAAGAGCTGGCACAATTTCTGTGAATCTGAAGTTCACCGAAGACACCAAACCGGCTGACCAGATGGGCAGCATCTCCACGACCCCTCCACCCACTGGGGAGGGCTGGCTGCTCAGCTGCTGGGGAAGCCATGACCTTGAAACTGGTGGTGGCCATTCTCCAGCCAGACACCCCCACACTGACACCGACATCTGTTAGGAGGAAGCCAGGGCCCCTTCTCTGTTTACCAGGGCTGTTGTCCCCCCAGGGCCGGCCCACCAGGGCCGCGCGAAGGTCTGCAGTGGCCTGGCAATGGGAGCCAGCAACCTGGGGCTCACCTGGAACCTGCTCGGGGCTGAGCTCCACTGGGTCCTGAAGGCTGATGAAGAGGAGGAGGCCCGCGGCTCCAAACAGCAGGATGGATGAGAACATGCAGGCGAGCCGCATTGTTCCAAGTCGTGGGGTCATCCGGGGCACGCTCCGGGGTCACCTCTCGGGTGCAAAAGGCACGTTCTTCCCTCATCATTCGCTCCGGACGTCCATCAGGCTGGGCTCTATGAGAGGGAAGGGAAGAAGTCAGCTCTAGGCTAGGATATCCGGGCAGATTAAGGCCCCTATCACTGCGATAGGGCAGCCTCTGGATTCCCCTGACCCACCCTGGAGCTCTCTGCCTCTCTGTCTCTCTCTCTTTCTCTCTGTCTCTCTCTCTGTCTCTGTCTCTGTCTCTCTCTCTGTCTCTCTCTCTCTCTCTCTCCCTCCCTCCCTCCCTTTGGACAGGATCTCATTATGCAAACTCATGACCTCCCAGCTCAGCCTCCCGAGTGCTGGGATCACAGACACGCTCCGCACCTCGCCTGCCCACTTGGAGCTTCTGAAACCCACAGAGGCTGGATGGGACCCTGTGGTGCCCACAAGGGTCTCCCGTCTGCACCTGCCGTAAAGCCGCAGAGAGACACAATCTCTGCTGCCGCCTGGGGACATCGAAGGGTGGTGAGAGCCTTGGCAGTGACAGGTGGGGGACCCAGTGGCAAAACCCCGTCCTGCCCAGCTCTGTGAGCCGCCCCCCCCAGGAAACACCACGCTCCCCTCAGAGGCTGCTCACAGCCCTCCGTCCCCGCTCGCCCTGCTCGCCTCTGCAGACCCAGAGCATTGCACACGTGAGAGACTTGTTCAACCTGGCTCTACCAGGAGAACGGAAGAGGCGCCCTCCACGCTGAGCCCGGTAAATGACCCTCAGATGACCCTCAGCTGGACCAGGTTGCGGGTCATGATAGGCACATGCCCCAGGGCTGGAGAGATGGACTCGGTGATTAAGAACATTGGCTGCTTTTCCAGAGGACCTGGGTTCAGCTCCCAGCGTCCGCACGGCAGCTCACAGACATCTGTTCCCGTGGTTATGACGCCTTCTTCTGGCATCTATGGGCACTGCACACATATGCTCACACGCCGTGCACAAGAGTTAAGCACTCATACCCATAAAATAATACAACATTTGGGGGGGGTGAGACAGGGGTTCTCTGTGTAGCCCCGGCTGTCCTGGGACTCGCTCTGTAGACCAAGCTGGCCTTGAATTCAGAGATCCACCTGCCACTGCCTCCTGAGGGCTGGGATTAAAGGTGCGTGTCACCACAACCTGGCACAATTATTATTATTATTTTTAAAAACAGACAGGAACACTCACTATGGCTTGAGCCTGAAGTGTCCCCGGAAGATTCATGTCTTCGAACACCTAGTGTGCAGTTGTTGGTGCTATTTTGAGAGACTGTGGGGCCTAAGCCAGGCCTGTGTGGATCAGGAGGAGGTAACAGGACAGAGGAAGTCCCCCAGACATCCATTTGCTGCGTGTCTACATAGGTGGACCCCCGACACGCACCACGCCCTACACCCCCCCACGCCGTCGGTCGCAGGGACTCATACCCCGCCCGGTATTTAGACAAAGTGGTCTTGGGGCTTTTTACCACTTTTCCCATTGCTGTGACAAAAATTGCTTCACAGAAGCAAACTCAAGAGAGAAGAGCGTGGTCTGGAGAGATGGCTGGGTGGTTAAGTGGCTCTGCTCTTTCAGAGGACCTGGGTTTGGTTCCCAGAACCCACAACGGCACCTCACAACCAGCTCCAAGGGAATCCAGTGCCCTCTTCTGGCCTCCATAGGTACTGCATACACGCGGTGCCCAGACGGAGGCAGGTATACCACACCCACACACATGGAAACTAAAGGGACGGAGGGCATAGAGAGGGGCTTTTATTTTGGCTCCTCATTTCAGAGGGTTCCACTGAGCATTGCAGGGAAGGTGTGGCGGGCCTTCCCCACAGGTCCACTACTGTGTGGCGGGATGCTGGCCTCACACGCTGGCCGGGCCAGGAAGCCGTGAAACAGGGCGTAAGTGGGGGCTGGGCTTTAGTAAAGGCTTGTCCTTAAGCCAAAGCATCCCCCTATTTCCACCGAAGGAGCATGCAAAGATCTTGCCCACCGCACACAGGGCAGTGTTGAAGGAAGCTGATGTCACCCAAGGCCACAGGACCCAGAGCCCAGCGTAGTCTCCAGTCTACAGACCCTTAAGCGGAAAGGTAAAGCTCACTGCCCTTTTCTGTGCCCAGAAAAGCTTCCAAGGGCTGGAGTGAATCTCAGGAAAGATTAGGAACCGAGGAGTATAAATTCCAGGCTTGGGTTTCTCCTCTCTGCAGTCACTGTAATTATTTTTTTTTCACTCAGTTAACTTTAATTAACCTGCCGCAGGCCTCTACGCACCTGGTGCTGGGCTCCCTGGACTGTGCAGAGCAGGTGGTTCCCACGACCCCCGCAGCTCTTATGTTTGGGGAGCAGCGGTGAGCCTGGACTGTGAGGAGCAGGCGGTTCCCACGACCCCCGCAGCTCTTATGTTTGGGGAGCAGCGGTGAGCCTGGACTGTGAGGAGCAGGCAGTTCCCACGACCCCCCAGCTCTTATGTTTGGGGAGCAGCGGTGAGCCTGGACTGTGAGGAGCAGGCGGTTCCCACGACCCCCCAGCTCTTATGTTTGGGGAGCAGCGGTGAGCCTGGACTGTGAGGAGCAGGCGGTTCCCACGACCCCCCAGCTCTTATGTTTGGGGAGCAGCGGTGAGGGGGTTGATCAGCAGCGCCTGCTCTAGGACTTTGGAGCAGTCCATGACCTCTGTACAACAGCCTTGCCCTTCAATAAGACTGCGGCGGCCCGTCACCAGTGAGGGGTGGAGGAGGGAACCCGACCGAGAATCACAGACTCCCGAGCCTCAGACTGGAGTATGGCCAGGGCTCCCTGTGGGAGAACTGTCCCGTGTGTCTGTAGTCATTGTCTTACAAAGCATAAGCTCCTCGTGTAGATTTCACAACTCCCACACAGGTGCCTAGAGCACGCCCTGCTGCCATTTCTCCAAGCACGGCCTGCAGAGTCAGGCCCGTTGCTGTCTATCCGCCCCCCCCCCACGAGCAGCTGCCACAGCCCCCGAGGAGACCCCAACAGCCCTAGAAAGGAGCTGGATGGGTGGGAATGACATTCTTCATCCGCAGGGCAGAGAACGGACTCTCTCTCGGTGGGGAGGTAGGGGAGGCAGCTGACGCCTTGCTAGGCAAGCTGACACCCTCGCCCTGCCGGCAGACCGGAGCAGGTGCCCCTGGGATGCATACACACACACCTCGCCCCTGCTGGCGAGTAGCCACACCAATGACTCACTGTCTGTGGTGTTGGTGTGACTCCCACAGCCACACCAGCCCCCCGAGGACGACACCGGAGGCCAGTCTGACCAAAAGCTGGTCATCTCTAACAGATAAGGAGGCCCCTCAGGCGCGTGCGTGCGTGTCTTAGGCCTTGGCTCCCTGGGGGGGGGCACGTGTTATGGACACGTTAGAAGAGGGGACCTCGCTGAGGGAAGTGGGGAGCTGGGGGCAGCCCCTTAGGAATACCTTGTCGCCGGGTACCGCCTCCTCGGTCTCTTCCTCTTTTCTTTCTCCCCCCCTTCCTGTTTGTCACAAGTCAAGGACCCCCCACCCCCACCACATAATCTCACTGCCGTGATGTCCTGTCCAAGCACGCAGGACCAAGCCACTATGGACCGAGTTCTCCAAAACCAGGAGCTGAGACAAATGTCCTCCACCTTTACAACGCCTGTCGGGTATTGTCAAGTGATGACAACAGCCTAACTAACATAACGGAAGAGAGGAAGGACAGAAGAAAGGACAAGCTATGCCCGCACGCGGAGATGCCTGGGAAGGTAGGTGGCTTACAGTGTCCCCCGGGGTCACCCCAAGGCTACCTGACAGACAAAGGAAGGGAATCAGAATGCCGCCCCGAGATCACCGGCTTGCTTGTTTCCAGCCTGGCCCTGTAGATGCGACTCCAGAGAGCTGCCGGTCTCCTCTCTGCCCCCGTCTGTCACGGGGCCACCGTCAGAGCCGCTGCAGACTTCTGTCAACAGCTAAAGTGGTTCTGCAGTTGTACCCCGAATCTGCTCGCACCAAACCCATTCCTGGAGACAGGATGGGGCTGCCCGTGGGCCCGGGACCCAGGAGAGGAGGCAGGAGACTCGGCTGTACAACCTTGGCCATTTCGAAGACCCTGGAGAGCACACAGCACCTGCCCACATCACGTGGCTTCCACTCAGCTCCTAAGCCCCGACCCCAGCCTTTCCTCCTGGGACCCCAACCTCCATGTTTGTTCTCAACAGGGGCTATATGGTCAGCCAACTCCTAGCTCCACGCAACTGAGAATCAAAAAAGCCAGATGCCTAGCCTCTGCAGGAAGCGGCTTGCTGTCTGGCTGGATCCATAACGTCGCAGGAATGGGCCGACATTCTGGAATGTGCAAGGCCCCTCTTCCCACAGAGACCCAAGGGTGCCCGCTCCAAAGGACTTGTGTCTCTGACCCTCCTCCGTATCCCCCCCCCCCAGGGTTCTCCAGTCACATTGTATTTTTAAGACAACAGGGAGACCGCTGGTCCAAAGGTCATTTCTCTCCCTTGGTCCAAAGGTCATTTCTCTCCTTATTAGAGTCCAGCAGTTGCCTTGGGCCTCAATATAACAACTGTCACAGGCCAGGGCCTGGCTGCCCCAGGGCCATGAAAACACATTTGCAAGACCTCAGCTCCCACCTGGGACTGTCCTGGCCTCAACGCATCCTTCATGCTCTGCTCCGTGACAGGTGCACGTGTTCCTCATCTCCCTGCCTCCCCTTCCAAAACCAACGGACAATAAGAAAATTCAAACTATTGGCAATGAAGAAGAGGTTGCGGGGGCGGAGGTTGGGGGCGGGGGTTGGTTAAGGCATGAGAAATACACAGCCTGGGTGAGTATTCTGCCCTGGTCAAAATTACAAAACCTTCTAGTGGTTTCTTTCCCCAAGGCCTGAATGGCGTCACCAATTTTTTTTTTTTTTACTTTTAAAGAAAGAAAAGATCCAATTAATGTTACACCTCCCGGGACACAGGGCAAGGCTGAAGATTCCTCCCATCTCTTTCTCTTTTATTTGATTTTTTAAAAAATTGAAACTGGCTTCAGGGTCTAAGCAAGGGCTTGAGAATCAGCCAAAACACACGCACCTCCGG